AAAAGCGACGCTTTTAGCTTACTTCGGAGAGATGCGATATTCTCGCTTTGGATCGAACTGTTATTCGGAAAAAATGGAACAAAGTGGACCGTTCAAACAGTCTTTTTGAAAAATTATTTATAAGAATCGTTTTTATGATGGAATTTCATATTACCAAATTCAAAGTATACGTTACCAAACTTTAGCGAGCATAAATAAAATGATATCGCGTAAATAAAAATAATTAAATAATAAATTATATAATAAACTTAAATGTACATGCACGCGTTCTTGATTCATTAAAATACATATATTAATTTTAAATGATATAACATCATGATCGATTGATCGTTAACATTTCCTCACTTTTTAATAGTTACATCACTCTTGTTTCAAAGCTATTATTACCGCAACTGAATAGAAGATAACAAGTAAGTAAAGTATATGTAGTTGTTTTATATTTCTTGCATTTACTACGCATTTTACTAGTCATCAGAATTTTCATGTTTTTCGTGGCTTTGATCAAAGTGAAATGATAAAATCGTTCGAACGAAGGTTGATTTTTCATTAGAAATAACTTTTTAGAAAGTTCCAGCGGAACAAGGTTCGTCTATTACGGAAATGGGTCCATAAGGCTAATTCCAATTTTTCTTTATCTGGATTCATAGTTTCGACCGAAGGGGCGTAGGAACTGTCTTCGGGCAAAGAAGATAAGCCGAAACGGCGCTTTCGCGACCGTGAGAATGGCGAGATTTTGTGGTTAACCGAGTTACTGGCAAATCCGAGAGATAACGGGACGAAGGGATGGAAAATGCTCCCACGGGGTAAGACGGGTCGTCGCGGTGTTCTCGCAGCGACAATAAAGCGTGTCGAAACCGTGCATTCGTGTATGTACCCCTTTCGTTGACGAGCATCACGCAACCGAACAATTTTACTCGAGAACAACACGTAATGCCAATCTCGAAATTCAAAATTCAAAATTCAAAATCCAAAATTCAAAATTCAAAATTCAAAATTCAAAATTCAAAATTCAAAATTCAAAATTCAAAATTCAAAATTCAAAATTCAAAATTCAAAATTCAAAATTCAAAATTCAAAATTCAAAATTCAAAATTCAAAATTCAAAATTCAAAATTCAAAATTCAAAATTCAAAATTCAAAATTCAAAATTCAAAATTCAAAATTCAAAATTCAAAATTCAAAATTCAAAATTCAAAATTCAAAATTCAAAATTCAAAATTCAAAATTCAAAATTCAAAATTCAAAATTCAAAATTCAAAATTCAAAATTCAAAATTCAAAATTCAAAATTCAAAATTCAAAATTCAAAATTCAAAATTCAAAATTCAAAATTCAAAATTCAAAATTCAAAATTCAAAATTCAAAATTCAAAATTCAAAATTCAAAATTCAAAATTCAAAATTCAAAATTCAAAATTCAAAATTCAAAATTCAAAATTCAAAATTCAAAATTCAAAATTCAAAATTCAAAATTCAAAATTCAAAATTCAAAATTCAAAATTCAAAATTCAAAATTCAAAATTCAAAATTCAAAATTCAAAATTCAAAATTCAAAATTCAAAATTCAAAATTCAAAATTCAAAATTCAAAATTCAAAATTCAAAATTCAAAATTCAAAATTCAAAATTCAAAATTCAAAATTCAAAACTCAAAACTCAAAATTCAAAAATTCAGAATTCAAAATTCAAAATTCAAAATTCGGAAAATTTTGCACTAATGTTACTATTATTTTCATAAGATATCGTTCCAACCCAAGATAATATTGATAAAGCGTCTGTCTCCTGTTTATGACTAATATGTAATAATTCGACGTATCATCCGTATCTATTCGTTCGTAACGTGTAGACTTATAATTAATTTCAGATTTAGCATTGCAAGTATGGTAGCGATAAAAAGATACAGTTGTTTTATTATATAATCGATAAATATTGTATCAATGCGTACATCGCAACATTCTAATCGATATCGTATAAATAAAGGGGAAATATTTGCTCTGTTGTTAAATATACTCGAGCACGTGTAACCGCATTTTATTTATAGATTATCAACTTTTTCCTCCATATAACCGCCGCTATGCCTTTGTTTCCGAGATATTCGGAGAAAACTTCATTTTTTTTTTTTTTTTTTTTTTTTTTTTTTTTTTTCTTTTATTTTTT